TAGAAAATTAATTCGTGTATTTATTGCCAATGGAATAAATAATCAAGGATTGTTTTTAGCAGTTTAATGGTACAAAATCGATCGAACAGAAAATGATGTGAGCATCGACATTTTCGCAATAGCCGAGTGAAAATCATGCCCGGCTCAGGTTTAATTAATGGAAATAAAAAGAAAGGCCTCAATTCGGCAGAGCCTATTGTGGCGAAACAATCATTTATTGTCATCCCATTCGAAAACTTGGAAATTAATGGATATGAAGCGTTTTGTGTTAGGAGCGACAAGAAAGGTGAAGAGCGCCTAAAGGGACCGTGAAAATTTACTTTGAAAAAGTTTTTGTTGCTGAAAATAGGGCCTTGTCAGACCGTGCATAACCTTCCAACCCAGTTTAGCGGTACAAAAAGCCGATGATCAACATATTATTGATATTTAACTAGCTTTCAATTCACGATTATTAAATGGCAAATTCCGATCGAAATCTGCAAGTTTTACCGGCATTTTCCCGAAGTATTTCCATTTTTCTTCACCAATGTTACAGGAAATATTTACTATACATTAAAATACATGGCGATAGAATGCATACCTTTCTTAGATTTGATCAAATTGCATAGTCGGTGACGAAACTTAACTTCTAAGTGTTTAGTACCATCAGATGAATCTACGACGGGAAATTGACTTTCTCTGTTAAATCTCTCGTTAAATTATGTACTCTTATAACAGAAATTTCCTCGGGCATATTACCAAACCGATAACTTCCGTTTGACCGAACTGATGAGATCTTTTAGATCGTTTGGCATTCTTACGACTGGCGAAAGAATTTTTATTACTGATCGAAGATAGGAATTAATATCGAATGGCGTTGCCTGCCGAAAATGGTCTGCGAACAGATGGGTTTATTAATGAAAATCGAACATTAGCCATTACGGTTTTTTTCAATGGTTTCAGTGTTCTTCTGCGTTTCGTTGAAATGAACAAAGCGTTTCGGAGTAAGTTTACAATTTAAATAAGTTTTCAATGTAAGGAAAATTACTTTCAGAATTGGCTTGAAATTTTATAATTCGCCATAATTGTTTAAATGTTTGGGTATGTGATTAGTAACAGTTTTGGCATATAGGTGACGGTATTTTTCTTATCTAAGTTTCAAACGATTTATGCATTTAGGGTCAAAAACTAAGCATTGAGTTCAAAAAAATTGGCTAAAACTATCGAAAACTATACTCGCTTAAAATGTCTCAAATAATGCACCATTTCAATTGCAGAGAAGCAAGGAAAGCAACGAAACTCTCATGCATTTGAAATACTGAAATCTCCACTTTTTCAGCTGCTTGAAGATTAAAAATCGGCTCTTAAATGGGGGTATTGCAACGTGAAGAGTGTGGAGAAGATTCTTATCTACTTGCCCCATACTCTCTACAAAAGCTCAAAATCTGCAGTTTTTTTATATTTCAAAATCCGCCTTTTAGTATGTACATTCTGATGTGAAGGAGAATAACCGAACAAAATTTCCGGGGTAAAATCGTTTTAAAATTGGTTCTTAATTCGTCTGTTTTGAGATGAAGGGAAAATTAACCTTTCCGGAGAACTCTGACCGTAGTTACAGTGCTTTTGCAGCGAACCTTCCGGCATCTGAAGATCGAGCCTGAAAGCTCAAAACCTGTGCTTTTTGCAGTTTTTTTTTAAATTTAAATATGCCTTTAATTAAGTATGTGCTGAGGTAAAGAGTGTGGAAACGAAGAAGTTTGAAAAGACGATTTGACGGAAGTAAACTCGGCTGTTGCTTCGATCCTATTAAGCACTTCTGGAACCTAAAAGTCGCATTTGAAAAGTTAAAGTCTGCATTTTGTTCAGTCTTTTGAAATTTTAGATCGCTCACATGGTAGTAGTAGGTGTAGTCCGTGGATAGTTTAAAAAAACGAGCTTTCCTGGAGAATTCTGGACGTGGTTCCAGCACTTTATGAACTTGGGCTCGCTCAAAAGTGGAGAGGGTGGAGGGTTCGGGAAAACGGATTTTCCCGGAAAAATCTGGCCGTAGTTCCAGTGGCTTTACGAACTTCCGTCATGCGAAAAAAGTGTTCGACTCCCTGAAATCTCTGCTTTGTTTTGTTTCTCGGAATTTTATAATCCGACTTTAAGTACTCACGTAAGTGAGGTCAAAAGTGTGGAAGATTCGAAAAAAAAAACGATGTACTCGGAGAAAGTCCTTCTGTTTTTTCGGTCTGTTAAGGACTGGAAAAATCCTACTTTCCGGGAGATCTCGAGCCGTGGTTCAAGCGGTTTGATGAAGTGTGGCATCTGAAAACAGAGCCCTGAATCTTGACTTTTCTTCGTTGAAAATTGCTCTTACTTCTAGCTCATGTTCGGCCCGTTCCTAAGCGAAGAATCTAGAAGGTTGCACACAATAACTTTTCCGGATCCTTCTGGCTGCAGTTCTAGCCACTTTAGGAACTTCCCACATTTGAAAACTGAACTCGAAAAGCGGAAAACTGCGCTTAATCCAGGTTTTTTTAATTTCAAAATAGTGTCTTAATTGGCCAAGTTTTAAGGTGAAATGTGTGGAAAAGGTGTTGGTGACGTTTTAGGCTGAAGAGTGGAAGTAGTTTGGAAACGTACATTTTTCCAGATATATGAGGCTGTAGTTTCAGCGCCTCTACCCACTTCTGGCACATGAAAAATTTGTCGAAAAGTTCGAAATCTGTACTTTTTAACATTTCGATTTGAGGTAAAGATTGCGAGGAGTTTCAGTGTTTCTTTGAGCTTCCGGCATATAAAAACTGCTTAGAAAACTGGAAATATCCGCTACTTTACCTTTTTTTATGTTTCAACATCGCCTTTAAATTGGGGCAGTTTCAAGGTAAACAGTGTGAAAAGTTCCCCGTTTTAAGGCACTTGTGTTCGAAAGCTCCAAATCTACACTTTTTCGACTGCGGAACTTCAAGCCCAGAATCAACAGGAAACAAATACATTGCAATAATAAATTGTGTGACTATTTTTGTTATATAATCCGCCCCCTGAAAACGGGCAAATTTAACTCGTCAACCTAATAAAGAACCATTTAAGTCCCGGATTTGCCCCAGTAATTTGATTTAAAAACTATCAGCTTGCCTCTAAATGCTTCCAACTGCGACTTAATAATTTTCGGGAAATTCTAAGCATTCGCGCTTATCGCTTTCTGTGCCATGTAATCCGAACGCTTTTCTAATTTGTTTATCTCCGTGCTCGCCTTGGCATAATTTCAGGATTCTGTCAAAAGAGTCGTTAACATTGAAGTTTATATCTTGTTGTGGTGTTTCGCATGATATCTACCATGCAATCTAACCCAAACTTACGAAATATGACACGATTCGAATAAGGAATTACCTTTAGCGGCTATGCGAAATTCATTTCAATGTCCTGGTAATTTTCTGATCAGAATAAATTGCTTTAAAAACTTCCTGATTTCATTTTGATTGATGTTGTTCAACTGGTCAATCTCCTTGTAGACTATTAAAACGTTGGACTGGAATCGATTGCAACCTATTTACATACATGAGAGTTTGTGCAGATTTACGCAATTGCTACTTTAGCTGGAAAGCCATCAATTCTACTGAAAACTGTTTGCTTTTATTGGTCGAAAATCCGACCTCGAAAGAACACTGTTGCTGGAGATACAATTTCATGTGGTCCAAATGAGCTTTTGTTCAAAACTTTAATGCTTAGAACTTTGTTGAAACTGGCCATTCGAAAGATGATATGAAAATAAATATATTTTATTGGTTGGGTCCTTGAAAGTGGCCGATATTGCCTCTGCGAACTTTTCCATCAGTTTGAAGATTTGGCTCAGCGCTACGCCTTTGCATCTTTTTGCGCTCATAGAACAGCTTAGTTTCTCTTCTTGTAACTTTGCAGCTGTAAAAAGTTGGAAGGTTTTTGGGTAAATCCGGACGAAAAATGATTACAACAGCATTTTCGACTGGAGTTTACTTACGCGATTATCCGAAAGTCAATTTAGCGGAATATTATGCACTGGAAGATTTTCTCAAGTGCAAGCTAGAAAGCCTGATTACTCGGCGGTATGTAACACAAGCATGCTAAATTAGACGGAATATCTTCCTGTGTCGAAATAATCCTGCCATCTGAAGGCGGTAAACTGCTAAAGGAATTTCTCAAGGTTGGCAAATTAGTGGAAAGCTTCATTCAAATAATTCCCTGTTGATTGAAAGGAAACCTGGAAATGAGCTTCTAGTGTCCAGGAAATATCCCAACAGAACTTGGGAAGGTTTGCGGACTTTATCTATAGTACATGTTTGAAAGCGACTTGACCGAATTTTTCCGGATGTAGATATAATGAAAGCAAACAGTGCGTGTTTTCCTATACCTTGGCATTCAGCTTCCAGTATTTCCTCGGGGATAATTTGGCAATTTCCCGTGTTCTACTGGGAGTTGCGTTGAGAAAAACAAGTCTTACCCACCGGGAAGTTTCCTAAATCGTTTTGCTATTTATTTAAGATGCCTACATTCGCCAACAAAACTCTGGGGAAATATTTGCGGCCTACATATAAGTGCTTACACATAACCGGGGAGTCGTAAGTTTACGCAACTGGCTTTTATTAATAAAACAATAAATGTGCTAATGTGACCGGGAGCGTTTAAACATCCGGCAAAGTGATTCGAACATGTCGCCATCATTTTCAAGCTGCCTTTCGCCTGATATCAAAAGGGGCGCAAAGCAGGAAATTGGAAATCGTAAAAACTGAGAGGAATATATTCGCACTATGGATGTGGAAAATTGCTCGCTTATTTATAGCGAAAAATGTAAAAGACATGTAACATGTTCCCGCATGCCTTTCTGCTCATCCAGCCTATTTCCTGTGGGAAAATTTCACTGTTTCCTTCATCTTGCTAAAAGTTCCACAGAGACGGAATCAAATTTGATCCAATGGCTAAACCTACTTTGACAGCACGGGCGTTTACTCACCGCGAACTGAATTTTTCCTTCAAGGATTTTTCGGGAAAAATTAACTTACGGTTCGGTCGCCTGGATGTTTCACACGACAGTTCAAAAGGGCGGACTGACCCACAACTGCAGTTACATTTTTCGATCCGATGTCATCGAAATATGGCTTTTGCGGCTTCGATTCAGTGAGTTTGGACTTTGTCGGAACGCCAGCGACGGAAACTTGTGCCGTTGAGCTGACAAAACTTGAAAAACCTGCAACAAGAGAAAAAAATAAAAATTAATTTTCCAAATATTGTCTAATGGGTAACATGTTTGAATATTTGCACGTCGCGGTCAGTGCTTGAAATTGTTGAAAAAAGAAAAAATCCATTCTTTCTCTGCGACCTAAAGCCCCCAAAAATACGCAAGTCAGAGGTGCTCACACGTTCTTCAAGCTGAAGCTTCAATATTTAGCAAAACCAAATAATTAGCACTTTCGAAAACTAAAAGCTTGTTGTAGTTGAATTAGAGAAGGAAACTGCAACCGTGTACTAGAAGGCAACTAATTAGAGTGGAGCAAATCTTAAAAGCGAGAAACTAAATAAACCAAATTTCCTTTACAAATTGGCTCCCATTTGCAAAAGCGAGTCGATAGAATTTTAGCAAAGTTTTGAAAATTTAATCAGCTAAGTTTTGCTTAAGTAACTTAATTAAGTAAATTGATATCGACGATCTTTCGATATTCCTCATTTTCATAGCTGTAGGTAAGGAAATTTTAAAGTTTGGGAACTTTTATATCCTTCGTTAAATACAGTGTAACGGAGATAGGACGCGATTGCCCCAATCGGCCGAACACTTTCCGAAGTATTAATTTCCTTGCCGAAAAGTAATTAGATATTAATCTTAGCAATTTGTTACTTAAATAACGAAAGTCAGCCAAGTAATCCTGACTTGGCTGGCTGTTTGTTTTTCGGCCGTCTTTATTAGCATTTCACGTGTTTAAAGTCATCACTCACTTCGTCAAGTTTTTCGTTGCCATAATGGAATTTCACGCATATTATCATACTTAATATCCATGAAAGCATGGAAAGTTCAAAGTTGATTTTGCCTTCACCATATGTGATATTAGCACGTAAAGGTTCGTGTAGATCAAAACAATTTTTCTTTGAATCGCGCACTATTAAATGTACATTATGTTGACGACAATTCACTGCTAATCTAGATTTAATGCCATTATTAACAGTTGCACTGGAAAATTGTCTATGGTTTCATTTCCACTCTGTTCACTTCTGCACTCTTATTGCAGTTTTAATCCTCATTAGCAATTTGACAATCCCATGTAGAGTCAAATAAATGACTATTCCACTTATAGGCGTTTCGTGTAGTTACAAGTAAGAACAAATAGCAAATAATTTAATCCCATCGCTCCTTACACTTTCAGCAGAGTTGGCAATCTATTTCGTAGTAACAAATAGATTTTTTGCCAACAGGCCCTAATCCAGGATGATTACGTGAAAAATGTACCTTTAGTCCAAAAGCGCTAAATGATACATCGAGCATTTCTCCAGACGAGCCATTACTTTTCCGAGCGTTAGGCTTTTCTCGGTTTTAGTCCCGCCTTGGGAAAAATAATTTATCATTCACAATTTACTTCGTCCTAGATTTATTTGTCGCCATTATCCTGTATTTTATTTTTCAGAATTTTAACTTGATTTTCCAACTAATAATAGGCCACAGTCAGAACAGTAAAACAGGGAAAAAGGTTGAGTAACATTTAAATTATTTCATGTTGGTAAAACTGAAACGGTTATAGGGTGAAAGTGAGCTATTGCCTGCTGCTTTCGGTATTGTAAAATTCAGCCTGCTGGCCTAAATGATGAGACATATTAGCAAAACTGTGGAACTACGTACTACTAGATAATTTTTTATTGGGTAAATTTCTCAAATTTGCTAACTAGTGTTCCACGTAAAAACAGATTATTTTAATGTTCTTTACAGTGTTAGAAAAGTAATATTGCTGGTGTGAATGGTTTGGAAGATATGAACAAAAATTTATAACTAGTGTTGCGCGTGGAACCATATGGATTCAATACTCTTTGCGGTGTTGGAAAAATAATCTTGCTGGCTCAAATGGTTGGGAAGATATACCCTAATGTTGAACTTTGTAAAAACCGCCGATAAAAATGTAACTTTATGCCTGAGCTGTGTTTGTACCGAAACATGTGCTTTTAATGGCCTTTTCAATGGTGAAAATATAAAGTCCTTACCTCAAACCCTTTTTTGAGGTATCAGTAAAAATATGTAGTCCTCTTCACCGTTCAGAGCTGGAATTCGGGCACGGAAAAATATTAAATCTCATGTTTCAACAAAAATGAACAATTATTCCAACAACGACAAAAAATTGAAAACCTGTCAAAACAATTGTGATAAATGGTTTCAAAGCTGAATGTAAAATTCCGTGACATATGCTTAAAAGATCAAAATAAAAGCCGTGAGCGTATAAAAAATGCTTACTTTAATCAGCAGATCTCAACTCTTTAGTTCTTTATTCGCTTTTAATCCAGAAGGGAAATGAAAAATTGTTTCATTTCAATTTTTTAATTAAATGCCCACTGAAAAACCCTGTTTGCTTCCTTTTTTAATTGCCTTAATTAGCATTTTTTTGGTGGGGAATTTGATATTTAAAACATTTTTCTTTTGCAAAGGAACAAGAATTAAGGCGTGTTTGGCAATTGACGCGGATAATTCATATAAATTCAGTTTGCTGCAGATAATTATGGCGGGTCTAAAGCCTGAAGGGAATCTTTCCTTAAATAACTGCAACACTTCAAATGGTTTTAGCAGATAACGAACATTGTTGCACCGGAAGTCGCCAAGAACTGTTTATGCGAAACTGCTAAAAATGTGAGTTAAATTTTCGGGATTTAATTAATAAATCAAATGCATTTAGTTGCAATATAATCGAAATAAAAAAGCAGAAAGATCATCCCTTTTAATCCGAATCATCAATGAGTGGATTTTTCAATTGGGTTGCAGTAAAGTTAGGTAAATATGAACCCAATTATAGATAAGCCATAAATCACAAATGAAATTCGTATTGAGCGAATTTTGAAAAATTGCAATCAGTCGGAAACAGTTCGAAGCTGGTAACTTTGACAGTATTTGTTCAATTTCAAGGCAAACAATTCGTTTGTTGTGACATGTAAAATAAATCTGCTTTCAATATTGGCTGTTTAATATCAATGCATTGCGCTGATTCAACAACAAAGCAATTACAATAATATTAACTCCCTTTATTTGTTTTCATATAGTAAATCCGTTCGGGGATTATGTTCCAAGTCTTTATTTTTGCTTTTATCCGACATATTTTTTGATTTTGCATACATCGATTTAGCATTAGTTTGAATACAAAAATAACTGGCMGAAAAATACCAGGGCTTTTAGCTTCAGCGGGCATTAYTTAAKGAAACGTKTTTTTTTTTTAGTTTTACTGGAAAAATTATGAAGAGCCTAGAGGATTAATAAAAATATAAAAGCCCTAATAAAGCTTGCTGTCTAGGTGGCAAACTAATAAATGTCTCTAAGAAACAAGCCACTAGCAGAATTATTATTTCCCTTTCAAGTATTAATAAAGACGGTATGTATCTTAGGAACGACAAAGAAAAATTACTTCCGTTCTATGAACAGCAAGATTATGTTCAAAACGGGAAGCTAAATTTGTTGTTCCGTGCAGGGAACAAAGCGGCTTTAAATACTGCCATTACTTCCTTTTTGTTCAAGAAACGAAGGTCTTTGGGTAATAGGCGAATATTAAGTAAATGTACTATAAAATGATATTGTTGTTTCAGAAGCAGACATTTCAATTTCGTGTAGTTTGGAATAATTTTTGCAAGAAGGGCAAGGATTTATTTGTGCGAAAAGAAATGTGTATCATACACGTATGAATTGTGAAAAGGGATTTAGGCCAAATTAAGCAAGATCTGAATGAAATGTGAGTGAACACCGAACATGTTTGCAGATGTTATCATCCCAAACGTTGTAACACAAGGAAAGTCTCGTATTTTCACACATTATTTATTTGGTTGAAAGTTAAATGTGTATAATTTAACAATGTTAAGGCTGGAGGTGGGCGGGTTTAATGCGGCTTCTATTGGTTTTGTCACAAAGTTTCCCTCGCAAAAAGAGAATAACTTCAACCTTCTGCCTAAACATTGTGGTGAAAGCATCTTTATAAAAAGTGGAAGCTCAAATACACAATTTGTAAATAAATGTGTGTCAATCCAGTACAATTATGAAAACGTGGTGCGGCTAAAAAACAAAATAGCAGTTTTTTTAATCGAAAGCCCAAATAATGTGCTTCAGCGATAGCTGATTTGTATTAATGGGAAAAAGGCGGTTCCAGGTCATCAATGTTTCACACGTCGGTAGCAGCATTTCACCAGAATGCATGTGCAGTGGCTGGGAAACTAAGAAGCACTAAAATGTCATTCCGTGCGTTCTCACGTTCCAGACTCGAAACCACCCCATAAGCTTTCTTGTAAGCCTTTTAATTATGCACTCACATATGCTCAGGACAGGATTAAGTATTTATGAAGACAGAGTGCCGTTACACACAAAATCCTTTTTGCGATTCGCTATGGATTTTACTGCTTAACTTCGCAAAGTTAATGAAGGACTCGAATAGCTCCAGTTCTTTGTTCCCAATTAATAAGACCACAAAGTGCATAATTTTGAAAACTTGATTCGATTTTTCACTATAAAGCTGAATTTTTTCCCCAATTTGTATTCGCTTTCGTGCCGAAAGTCGCCCATTAGAAACGAATTGTAACAACACTTACGTTCTCGACAAATAATTTAGTTTGGTTAATTGCATTTTCGCTGCCGAAACTTCGCAGCAATTAAAAGTTTTCAAAGAGTTGCTAAAGAGCTGCGAGAAGAAAGTGCGCCTCTTAACAATTATTAAGCTTTCGATATTTGGCGGCTTTGTGGTCAGGAACTCAAAGACTTTCTTTGCACAATTTTGCCTACTTCAAGAGGCTTTCACAGCAGGGGAGGGCTTAGGGATTACAATTTAAATGTTCTATGATTGTGTTTGAACTAGTTTAATTAGTTGCTTACCGTTTTCCAGTAAAGCATAATTTTAATTTTACGTATAATCGTTGGTGTGTCATACGCAGCAAGATTATGTAGTCGCCCATCGCGCGAAGAAATTCTAATGATTAATACCAGAAAACTCTGTGCAAAATTAGGCTCAAAAAGTTGGACTTTCGAAG